CAATCTTTGCTGGATCAACCATTATCCCTTCTTGGTTGACCACGTGACCCAAGAATTGGACTTCTCGAATCCAAAAATCACATTTGGAGAACTTTGCATACATCTTCTCCTTCTTCAAGACTTCCAACACTTCTCGCAAGTGTCTGACATGCTCCTCTTGGCTTTTCGAATAAATCAGAATGTCATCTGTGAACACTATCACAAATTTATCAAAGAACGGATTACAAACCATGTTCATTAAATCCATGAATGCTGCTGGAGCATTGGTTAGTCCAAACGACATAACCAAAAACTCGTAGTGTCCATATCGTGTTCTGAATGCAGTCTTCTCGATATCCTGCTCTCTCACCTTCAGCTGATGATATCCTGACCTTAGGTCGATCTTTGAAAAGTAACTTGAGCCTTGTAGTTGATCGAACAGGTCATCAATCCTTGGCAACGAATATTTATTCTTTATTGTTGCCTTATTCAGCTCTCTGTAGTCAATGCACATTCTCATACTCCCGTCTTTCTTTTTCACGAATAACACCGAAGCTCCCCAGGGTGATGAACTAGGTCTTGTGAAACCTTTGTCCAATAACTCCTGAAGTTGCATCATCAGCTCCTTCATCTCCGTTGGTGCTAATCGGTAAGGTGCTTTTGCTATTGGCGTATTTCCTGGTAACAAGTCAATACGGAATTCTACTTGTCGATCAGGTGGTAATCCAGGAAGATCTTCGGGAAATACTTCCGGATACTCACACACGACATGAATGCTCTTCATCTCCTTTTTCTCCTTCTTTGCGTCAATCACGAATGCCAAATATGATGTACATCCTTTGGCCAAACACTTTCTGGCTTTCATTAGAGAAATGATTCCAAAATTTACCCTGCGTTTGTCCCCATACACCATAAATGACTCCTTCCCTGGCGGGTTTACTTTTACTATCTTCTTTCGGCACAATATTTCGGCATCATTGGCGCTAAGCCAATCCATTCCCAGCACAATGTCGAAACCATTTAGCTCAATAGGCAATAATTCTTCGTGGAACTTATTCCCATTCAAATCAATTAAGATGTTTTTCATACGATGGCTAACAGGTACAAACTTGCCACTAGCAACTTCGACTAATAAAGCATTATATAGTCTATCGACAGGCAAAGCTAGTTTTCTACCAAATTCATGCGAAATAAAGGAGTAGTTGGCTCCAGAATCAAATAAAATTTGGGCAGACAATTCGTTTACGAGAAAGGTACCTGAAGCGACATCAGCTTCTTTTTTAGCAGCTTCCAGTGTCATCTGAAAGGCTCTCGCCTTCGGCTTTGGTGGAATGTTGGGTCTTGCTGCTTCCTTCATTTTCGGATAACCCCTCGAGATGTGCCCCTCCTCCCCACACCCATAACAAACTTTCTTGGTGAGGGTGCATTCGTTAGCATAGTGCCCTAACTTTCCACATTTGAAGCATGTGGCTTCCCCGCCACATTTCCCAAGATGCTTCTTCTTGCATTTGTCGCACCATTTCGCCTCGCCTCCTCCTCCTCCTCCTCTCGAACCATATTTTGAGAATTTATTTTTCTTGTTGGACCCTGAAGGCCCATCAAACTTCCTCTTCTCACCAACCTCTGATCTCTCCAGACCATTCTCCCTGATCTGAGTCTCAACATTCTTAGCAGCCCAGATGGCGGCTTTCAATGTGGTTGCTTGCTTAACCATTGGACCAAAATCCGCTGGTAATCCGAGGGCAAACTTGTTAACCTTAGAGAGTTCAGTTGGAACTAGGTATGTAATAAGCTTCATCTTTTCTGTGAAACTTGCAGCGTATTCAGTAACGCTCATTTTTCCCTTCTTCAAATTCTGAAACTCATTATTGATTTCCAGAAGGTCCTACTCGGAGCAGTATTGCAGTTTCAGTTGTTCCACAAAGTCTTCCCAAGACATTTTGCTCGCTTCTCCCTTGGGCATAGAGTCAGCTAACAGCTTCCACCAACTCAACACGCCCGATTTTAACAAAGGGATCGCAAGAGCGGTCTTCTGCCTGTTACTGCATTCACAACTTTCAAACATTGTCTCCATTTCAGAGATCCAGTCCATAACTTGCACCGGTGTCGGGCTTCCGGATAGACACGGTGGCTTGGATGCCATAAATCCTTGTATTTAAATCCTCTTCCATCATTTCCTCCATCACGATTGTTTTGTCTAATAATTGGTGGGTTGGTTTGACCAACAGTCCCACTGAAGTTACCTCCTTCCGACTGCCCTTCACTTAATTCAGGCTGAACAATCGGCATCGAAGGTTCTTCACGATTCTGTTGAAGCAGGCGTCTAGTTTCTTCCATCTGACGATCCAACATCGTCTGAATCATCAATTGTACACCAGCCATTGTCATTGGCTCAGGTTCTACTGCTACAACAAGTATTTGTTCAATCACTGGTGGTTGAGGCCGTTGATTCTTGTTTTCGTCTGCGTTTCCAACGCCACTTCTTGTTCTTGCCATCGCTGATCTATACACCGAATAAGGTGAATTTATATCCTCATTCACGATAGATAATTATACAAATCACTCCGAAACGCTTACATGTTAGTTCTAATACCGTAATCCTACGCTTAGAATCCTAAACACATGAGGTTTCCAGATCCGGTTGGCAACAAACCATAGATCCGAACAAATAATATCATATATGGCAAACATATAACATTTAGCATATAAAAGCTTTTTAGGCAACTTTCATAAATAAACTAGTGCTTGTATCTTAAATATAACAGACACGCATCTCACAATCTTCACTTAGCATTTTAAGTTTAAGTCTAGAAATCCTACAAATTCCTAGTTCGCTTAAACTAATGCTCTGATACCAACTGTAACATCCCCAAAATCACGGCCAGAAAAGACCGGTTTCATTTACGCTTTTAAATAAAATCAGAGTAATCCTTTGATTAAAATAGTTGCGGAATTTGTTCCCAAAACAAAATATGATAAGAATTTATCAAAGCATTTCATAAGGAAATGTATTTTCATTATATAACAAAACCTTGGGATGTCATGTTCCGATACAGAACAAAAGCATAAACAATACAAAATAGACCTTCCAACAGTTACATATAACTACTGGTCTATAATCCAAAAATATCTTGACAATGTCATCCAACTTATGCTCTCGTGCCACTACCTGTAATACAAAGAAAAACTGAGTGGGTCAGGCTTGGGAGCCTGGTGAGCATATAGGGTTTTCAACCCACAATAAATAATTATATTTAATTTCACCAACCAACAATAACCCGATTACCCATTCCCGTTTTCCTCACTTTACGTCCCTATGACAACAACTATTACAAGGGACCTAATCTAGGATTTTCATCGGGACGGACATTACTGCAAAGGGGTTTCCTTGACAATAGATGTCCTAAAGGCAACCATGAGGGGGATAGAGTACACCGGTGAACACATCGCTCACAACACCTACATGTTATGAATCTGCTAGCATTCCACTGGACTGTCTAGAAAGAGTCTGTGGTCGTCATCCATACTCCGCTAGACGACTAGATCAACAACAACATCGAGGCCTCTCATCATTTTATTTCATCACACACCAACTATCTACCCATGTTCTACCCAACATATTAGTAGATAAAATATATACATTTATATACAACTTAAAACCTGTACAAAACATCCATTTAACAACTAGTTCAAATAAACAAATAATATATAAACACATAGCACGTATTTTATAAAGAATACTTCATATCTATGTGTTAGAAGAAAACAAATATACACTCACTTGATAAGACGATGATCGGACATCACATCGTCTCTTAAAACAATCGTTTCCGATAAAACCGGATGCTTTTCTTGAAAACCGGGCTTCTCGCGGGCAGAGTTTCGGCTCGGAAACTTTACTTCTCGGGATCTTCGAGGCTTCGGGACTTGCTTCGGGTCTCGGGAATGATACCAGGGCTTCAGGGGTATTTCTTGCACGCAAAACGAGGAAATATGGGAGAGAGAGAAGGATTTTGAGCAAAAAAGATCGGCAGCCTCGGCCTTCTATTTATAGTAGCGAGACCTCGGACTACGCTGGGCGTACCGAGGCCCTACGCTGGGCGTACTTCGGATAAGGTGCCAGGTGGCGAGCTTCGGATGGTGGAACGTGGTCACTTCTAGGCCGAGGAAAGCAACTGTACGCTGCGCGTAGCTATCTCGTACGCAGGGCGTACCTCGGTGTCGACATGTACGCGGGGCGTACACCTAGTATGTTGGGCGTACCCTTCGGATCAGATCAGACTCGTCAGCTCTTCAGATATTATCCGAATAAATAATTAAATTTATATATTTTAATTATTTAAAAAATCATATCTTCCTCATACGAGCTCCGTTTTCGACGTTCTTTATATCCACGTGTAGGTGAGACTAAGATCTACAACTTTCATAACTTCTTCATCTGACGTCCATTTTCGTCTGTCTTTTCACCGTTGGACTACTATCGACGAGATCTTCGATTCTCGTTTAGATTTTTCAGCCAAAAATCACTTGATCTCATATTCGAGTTTCGGGGTGCATACCGCTAAGTCGAAACTTAGAAAAATCATAACTTCCTCATACGAAGTCAGATTTAGACGTTCTTTTTATGCACGCTCTCGGTTTAACGAATTCTATGACTTCCGTTTAGATCACTAAGGCTAGATATCGCTCTATCTTAAATTCGTATTTTATGTCATACAGTGTCGTGCCGGTTCTGTCGCGAAACTTCGACAGGTCATAACTTCTTCGTTATAACTCGGATTTCGGCATTCTTTATATATTCGGAAACCTTGCCACGACCACTACAACTTCATGTATCGATATCGGGTTTATCTAACATTTTATTTTTAACGCTTAAATTATCATTAATTCAATTAAGTCACAACAATTAGGCATAAATCACATAATACTCAAATAATACATTCTTATTATTTCAAAATGAGTTACAAAGGTTAACCTAGACTATTACATCAAAATTAATGCCTAGCTCAGAAACACGGACGTTACACTAGTATTATCCCTTTCAAAGCTAATCCACATAACATTTCAAATTCTTTATCCTCTTCCACCCAACATTCTTCATTATCATCAGATGAATTAGAGTAATCACTATCCATCCTACATAATACAAATAAAGAGATGTTAAACAATAACACATAATATAAAATGTCTATTACATAACGAAAAACAATAATACATATTATAAAATGTCGAATACATAACATCAAAGGACAACACATAATGTCAAAGCATAACACATAATGGCAAAGCATAACACATAAAACGATAAGACATGATGTCAAATGACAAATCATTATTTCATAAGTAACTTAAGAAACTCCATCTTGGCTTCGTCAGTCGTTGGAAACATAAAAGCTTCACGATTTTGCTTTTTGGTGAAGACAAGCAATGCTTGTGAAAATTCTTTGGACCCTTCACGAAAATCAGGAAACTTGATGACATTGTTGGGGAAGGATTATTTTGTGGAAACGTTTGTGTGCTTTTTGTTGATATGGAATCCAATAAAGCATATACTTTTTCCTCATAAATTGAACTTTTACTCTTGGTTGAACGATTGTTGGAAACAAGTTTATACCTCTTCCTTTTACTTGAACTACTTTCATGGAAACTAGGAAAAAGAGGCTTATCATCATCTAAATTGATTTCATCACTATCTCCGTTGCCCTTCATATTTTGTTCGTTCGGATTGAGATTGTTTTGAAATTGTAACCAGGGGTGAGCATTGGAATATGGTACCCGCTTACGGAACCGGAACCGCCTTGGAACCAGAACCGGACTAAGTGGTTCCGGTTCCTCAAATCTTGGAACCGCCTTAAGCGGTTCCGGTTCCGGTTCTCAATTTTTTGGAACCGCTACCCGTTGGGTACCCGACAGAACCGGTTTATATATATATATATATATATATATATATATATATATATATATATATATATATATATATATATATATATAGGTTTTGTATTTCTTTGATTTTTAGGCACTTTGTCTGTTCCCGGCCCTTTATCCATTACAACTCCTCATATCTTGTATTTATATTCACTGCAAGTGATATTTGAATTGTTCATAAACAAACTTTTGTTCGAGAGAAATAGTCACATATTCTTCACTCAAAATAGTTCTAAAGCGTGTGAATGTGCAAGGAATCAAATAATTAATTATTTTTTTCTTTATCAAAGTATACATATAATGTTCATGTCCTTCAAAGCATTAACGGTGTTAATTTTTTGTTTGATTTAGATATGTTTGTTAAAGTGAATTTAGATGAAGTTATGTACTGTACTAATTTTTTTACTTGTATTCCACCATTTTCTTGTAAAGTATTAAAAAATAGTATCTAGTTAAGTAAAACCACGATAAATATGATAGGTTTAATTATATCTAAAATCAACTGAAAAGAGACAGTAGGTATTATTATTTTGAAGGTTGAATCCATCCCACATCGACAATATGTAAAGAATGGGAGGGTGAGTCTTTTCTATATAAAGGCATAGTCACCATCTTCTATTAACATGAATTCATTATGCAAAGTCTAAAATGAAGAGGCTATGACAATAAATGCTCAATGCTCAACTGAGTGTCTCTTAATTTATTTAATTTTTTCAAAAGTTTAAATTTTATAGTAACAAAATCTTGTTTTAAGAGTTAAGAGTGGGTATCCGGAATCGGAACTGGAACCGGCAGTTCTGGTTCCGGTTCCAATATTTTAGGAACCGCCGGTTCTGGTTCTAGTTTCTTCAAATTTAGGCGGGTACCCGCCTTTGCTCACCCCTAATTGTATCGAAGTCATAGTCTGGTCTCCAATGGTAACAGAATCCTGAAACAAAAGATCATATTTCTCATCAAATATGCTAAAATTTGTGTTCCTAAATTTAGCATATTCTTTATTCTCCTGCAAGACAAAAATATAATGTTTAATTCATCGATTTTCCTATGTAATAATAATAACTTCAAATAATTAAAAAGAATAGTAAATCATACCTTTATTTTCTCCTGTCACCACTCAGGAGGTGCCTCTATTAGGCTTCTCGTCCCACCGAGTTCGGTTTCAAGCCTCATTAAGCGGTTATAAAGCTTCCACTCTTTTTTCATGTTCTCCAATTTGTTTGTTAGTTGTTTTTTTTTCAAGGTTGTAGCATGTTTTGCCCTTCATGTGTTTTTGTAAATTATCCCACCCAACCATATAAAAGTGAGTACTGGGTCTATGGCCTTTTCTTAGAATCAAGTACACATCAACAAACACCATGAAGGTAAGATTATCCCATACGAATTTTGGTTTTTTCTTTTTTAAAGATGTTTCACAATCAACAACATTAGTGTGGTTTTCGTCCATTATCTGAGAATTATATAGTATCAACATTTAAACAACATAAATATCAACCTAACATCAAACCAAAGTAACACCAATTCACAAAAATAAGAGACTGCAAACTAGAAAAAAATGTAAATGTTATATGCAATTTCATTATGTGGATTGTCGAATTCTAGATGTTATGATCAACCTAGTGTCACCTACGAATTTGATATTGGTTTCTTACAAAGAATCTTTGAATATTACTTCTTCTTGTGCAAATCCTAAGAAAGTCATTTTTCAAGAAGGAACTTCTACTGACTCGCACGTTACGAAGAAGAGACCTAAGTATAAGCCTAAAGCTGTTGAGAAAGAGGCTTCTGCAAAAACTGTTTAAGAGGTCTTCGAAATGAGTTTCAAAGAAAGTTGTAAAAGAAATTCCTGAGAAATCTACTGATGTTACTTCTAAGCAGCCATTAGAGATTATTGTTGATAAGCAAATTGAGAAAAGTGCTATGGTGGATTCTACCTCATAGGTTTTTCCTCCGAAACCTAAAATGGTTAAGAAGAAAGTCAAATCACGAGGAGAAATTTATGATGTTGATCCGGAAAAGAAGAAGCATAAAGTTGTTGGTGTTTTCAAAAGATTTCAGAAGTTTTGAGCTTTGTATGTTGATGTGTAACACTCAGTTTCGGATCATTTCATTGTTCGGGGTCGTGGCCCGGTCATCAGTCATTATAAGGCTTTGGGCCTTGGGGAAGAAAGGATTTGACCCTTTTTGGATGTGGTTATTATAGTCTAAGTGATCCGGGTGTTCATTTGTGTTTCGGAGCCCAATGATATAATCGTAATTTGATATCTCGGTCCTTTATGAATTTTGGGTTTTTGTTCGGAAAGTTCTTAGGCGGAAGTGAGTTGATAGAGGTGTAGGGCTTCTCTTCACATTTGTGTGGATATAAAGTTCATTGGAAACAGACTTATAACGAAGAAGTTATGGCCTTCGGAAGTTTAGTGGTTTTAGGGCTTGGTCGGGTACGAGGGGCGTACGTGTAGCGTACTAGTGAAAAGAGCAGTACGCGGGGCGTACTGATCGGGATGGTCGTGGGTGCTCTACGGAGTACACTGGGCGTACCATAACTACGTTGGGCATACTCCAGTCAGACCAGAACCCTATTTTAGGTTCTTGGACCCTATTTAAGCTCCTTATCTCATAACCTAACCCTAATACAGTTGGGTTATGAGCATAAAAACAATCCTATGGTGCACATGCAAACCCTAATGCTTGGATCTAGTTTTTCTAATTGTACATGCAACAATGTCCAAGACTTGCAAACCCTAATCTAGCATACTACAAAAACCGAAATCAACATAAATAAACTAGTAAGAATGTTACCTTTGATTGTAGCTTGAAGATCTTGAGCTTTTGAGAACTTTAGCTCCTCAAGTGTGATGCCTCTAGTAGATCACAAACACCAAAGCAATTGGAGAATGCAAGAGAGAGAGAGAGGGAGGAGGCTAAAATCGGCTCTAGTAATCCTTTAGGGTTGTGGTAGCCGAATTCTAGTGCCCAAGGGTTCATTATATAGGTGAGGAATTAGGGTTTCAGTCAAAGACCTAATCCGGTTGCTTAGGCTCTAAGCAGCCCATAGGAATATTCCAGAACCTAGCCCTTGGACGATTTCTTCATGGGCTTCCCCATAAAATCGTCCATCCCTTAACTTAGGGATCCTCAACCCATATTTCAATTATCACATAATTACAATATCAGTCCCCTTAATTCAATTAACCTCTTCTGACCACAAAATTAATTCTAAATTAATTCTTGACCAATGTTAATTAAATAATATGATTTCTCTTTTAATATATTATTCAAATAATATATTAATAAACCATAATAACCTCTTTCTCCATTATTCATCCAGTCAAGTTGCTTTGGTGAAGGTAACCCAAAAGGACCATGCTATAACCGGGTCAAGTACATACCAAATATAGTTATGACTTAGACACCTAATCCAACAAATATTTTCAGCCTCCATCCATCTAAACCCTAGAAATCGACCCATAGCCCCCATTTGAGTGATTCTTGAGCTTCAAAATGATTTGTGAGTGTTTTTGGTGCTTGAGGAGGAAGAAGGAACTTCTTGAAGAGTCATTGCTTGACTTGGAGCTTTTGGATCCAAGCTTTGTTCACCTAGATTTAACTTCTGGAGGTATAAAGTCTCGACCTTGACCAACTCTTTCTTGTAGATCTAGCTAGGTGGCACTTTCTCATGATTTTAGTCCCTTTGTGGTGGTTCTTCTGAGTAGAAGTTACTCCAGAAGCTTTGAGCTTCATTTTTGGCCTTTGTTGGGGTTATGGAGTCATAAGGTTTGGATCTTGATGAGTATAAACCTTCCATGCACGATTTGTGAAACATCCCAAAAATACGGTCCAAAAATTTCATTTTTAATTATTTATAAAAAGCATAGTTATCAATTCATCACATAAAATCATAAGTCATTGTATCTCAAAACATCACAAACATTTGTCACATATATCAGAGTAAAACATCCCATGCTAAAATCATGGTGTGTGCACTGCAGTCATCTTGAGCTCTTCCCCTTGCTACCGGAAGTACCTGAAACCAAAACTGAAAAGTGTAAGCACAAAGCTTAGTGAGTCTCCCCAAACTACCACATACCATATATATAATCACATAATCACATAATAACATATAATGAGCCCCACCCGGCATCGGACAAGTCCGGCATCGGGCCCCGCCCGACATCGGATCGAAATCCGGCATCGGGCCCCGCTCGGCATCGAGCAAAACTCGGTATACATATAAAACTATCAACAAATACACATAAATAATCACATAACATAAACATATAAACATTCCTCGGGCCCTGTTCGACATCGGACCGAAATCCGGAAGCATACAAACATTCCTCGGGCATTGCCCGACATCAGATCGTAATCCGGAAACATACAAAACAGACACATGCAAGAATCGCGAAGACATCAAGCATACAAACATTCCTCGGGCATCGCTCGACATCGGATCGGAATCTGGAAACATATAAACCTATATCGGGCACCGCCCGACATCGGATAAAATCCAGAAACATCTAAACATACATACGGGCCGGCCTTGGTGCCTTAGACCCGTTCCTACAAGAGAAAACTCACCTCGCAAAGCTAAATGCAGAATCTCACAGTAAGGAATCTCTAACGGCTGCTCCGACGACTCCTTGAGCTAACATTACCAAAATAACACTTAGTCAAAATCCAATACTCCTTCTTAGGGTAAAATGACCATTTTACCCCTGATCTAATTTAGACCATGACCTAGGCCCAATTCCATAACATCAATGGTCCAATTCTATAAAGCCTTTCCA